TGGCGAATAAACTTGATACTGCAGGTGATCGCCAGGTTGCCCCGAAATTGCTTTGTTCCGGGACAAGGATAACCCAATTTCGGTGATTCATCAGAACTTATTGCCAACCAAGACGGTTGATAACTAAGCAGTCAATCAATCCTTCCATACGTGAATCCCCATGTCTACCCTCTTCCATGTCAATAAGCAGGCTTTTTGTACGATACATAGATTGCTACACTCTTGTAGCTGTGTTCTAATTCGCTGTCTGGGATCCATGTCTAAACGAGAAACACTTTCGGAAGACGATCCTTTGGGATTGTGTTATCGAGACTGTCGAGGAGGCAGCATGTTCCCTGAAAACTGCTTTGTTCTGAGACAACCAATCAAAACATCGATAGGCAAACTCAAGTGATTGGCCGGAACCGTCAGCCAATCAAGATGGTTGACAGCAGTCCGGTCAACCAATTGTTAGTCACATAAATTCCGTTCTCTCGCTCTTTCCTGTAACCATGATTTTCACGTAATAAATGAATTCCTACGCGCTTCCGTCGGTGTTCACCTTCACTGCCTGTGGAGTTCCTTAATTAACAAGAAACGTTACCAGAGACGATCTTTCGCGAATCCAATCCCGATCTAAATCCTGTGCGGTTATAAAAGACATCCGAGTGGTCGTAATAGACACCGCGGCAGATTTGTATCATGCCATTCCTGTGTACAAGTACTTGCCCGATAGCACGCCTGATAGACCGAGATGCATGCTTGATTAATTTACTGTGAAGAGAATGTGATATCGGACGTGATTTTACTCCCAAAGCTTGAGTGCGCTTTGATAGGTTGACCACCAACTGCACAGATGAAGTGAATGTGACGCAAACCGGTGCAGGTGTATACATGAAATAAATAGATTTGACGACTAATTTGTTATTTTTGTGTGGGGAAACCGGGATAGATAGTAGACTAAGCACGACATAAATGAGCCGAGATAAACACGTGCATCTGTACGAAACTTTCGACGAACTGAGGCCGTACAGATGAAGAAAAGATAAACAAGACGTCCCAGTTTTCCTGATCACTGCACAAATGTGATCAGATCAAGTCAGATTTCGGTTTGATCGGAAAATGACACGGAACACCGTTGAGTACAGATTGCATCTTATATAAGGACGCAGGAGTACACACTACACAAGGTTGAGTTCATTGGTTTATTTTTTGTGTGGAGAAAACAGAAATTCTATACAGTTCAGTGAGGCGGTGGTGGCCAAGTGATTAGGTCACCAACTTGTGACCTGGGAGTCTCGGATTAAAAGGATAAATTTCATGTGATCCAACATGAAGGCACTTCATCAATCACTTTGGGGATAGCTGTATTTACAAATTAAGAGGGCTGAGCAAAGTAAACATTACATTTTCTCGAAATATTCTCCATCAGCATTCATACATTTAAACCATGTGGAGAAACAGGTAGGACCTCCGACCAATTCAATGAAAGCCTACACTTCAGCTGTTGTGGACTGATATTTAATTCCACGCATCCTGCATTTCCTTGTGATTAAGGAAAACAGCAACGACACACAAAGCCAGGTCTGAACTGTAGGGTGAGTGATCAACCTCCTGAATGCATTCTGCAGTCAGAAAATCCCCGAAGACACGGGACCTGTGTGCAGGTGCGGTGCCATGGTGCAGCAAGGTCCCTTGTGCTCGAGTCCTTAACCGACACCTGGCAGCGACCTGTTTTCTGGGTCGGAACTATACACCCAGATCTAGTCACCACGAGTGACCTCCCAAACTACATTGGAACGTCCACCATCAAACCTGTCAAGCATCGTGTGGCACCAATTCATCCAAACCGCTTTCTGTTCCTCATTGAGCCGATGGGGTACCCAGCGGACGCAAACCTGAGGCCAAACTTTTCATGTCGGATGGTGCGGACTGATCAAAGATGATATCCCGATGGCTTTCGCCAGCTGTGCCACTGTCACCCGCGCACCTCGCTCCTCTTTCTAGTTAACTTTGTTGTAGATTTGATTATGGAAACATTCCTCTCCTCGTGCGGGAAATTTGACGTCGATTCGATCCCAGGTGGCAGACTGTCTGATCTAGAGTAGTCTGCAGACGACATTGTGCTACTAAGTAAAGAGCCAGACAAGTTGCAAGCTTCTCTGGATAGCTTGAATACCAGCGTAGCTATGTTCGGTATGCGTTTTGCACCTTCAAAGTGTAACATGTTGCCACAAGACTGGGTTGGCCCAGCACCCAATCTCACTAACTGGGGAAGTAATAGAGCAGATGGAGAAGTTTTGTTATCTGGGCAGCTACATCTCACCTGGTGGACGCATCACGGATGAAGTGTCAGCTCGTATACTGAAGGCTCGGTTGGCATTTGCGACATCCGGCTGTCAGTCAAGGGTCCAGTGTATGCTGCTGTATTTCTGCTATATGAAGTAGAAACTTGGCTATTAGGGAGGCAGCATAAAGATAGACTTTCGGTGTTTGAACACCGCTGTCTACGCAGCAATGCTGAGTTTAAGCAATGAGTTTTGGGTAACTGCGATCGCCCACTGGAGCAAATGGTCAACCTCCATTGATTGTTGGTTGGGGCATTTGTTACGCATATCATCAGATAGGCGAGCGATGTTCGCCGAGGCAGGTAGTGAGTGGAATAAAGTCTAAGGTGGTCAAGCTAAGACCTGGCATGAGGGTGTGAAAACCCTAACCAGGGTACTGGGTCACACGAGTTCCGTAGAGCTCCTTGGCTGGGGACCCCGAGATTATGGTCACCGATGATTAGAGACATTGTGTGATATGGCTGGGTGTCGTTCGTACATCTTCTCAATTTTCTCTTCGATCCTACTTTCAACCTTCCTCTTTTCCTCCTATTGCTCATTCAAATGGTCAACCAAAAGCGACGCACGATAGTGCAGGCTTAGTGATTGTTCAAACTGAACCCGCACAGCCCCCTCCGTCGCTTGCACAGCAGCAATGTTTTCCGCTGTGGTGGTCCCTACGGGTAGACCACGCCGTGTATCATCACCCATGAACCGCCTGCCACGCCCAAATTCCGCAAACCACTCAAATACACTGCTTTTTGAAGGCGCATCATCACCAAAGGCTGCTCGCAAACCATGAACACTGTTGCTGCTTGAAACCACATTTGTAGTCTTGGAAATTTGTCGCCCTCCAGTTACATCAACAGAGTTCCTTCCTCACAGTCTGAGTATGGTGACCCTCGTGTAACTTGTAAGTTGTGCTCGGCTGTGTTGATATTTAGTTGTGTGAGTTGCCATCACCGAACAATATTCGCAATGGATGACAGTTCACGTTTTCCTTGCCCAGTCATCTGCACCTACTCATGTACTACGTATCCGTTAACTTTTTACTCAGCCCTTGTAGATTGTGCTTTATATTCAGACGCACTTGTTTGGTCTTGGCCGATTGTATACTGTTAAGTCGATTCGTCTTACTTCCACAGATCGGCTCCGATGAGGGCGAACTGTCCCATTTGTGAATCACTCAACTGGTCTCATTGATTCTTCTACCGTTTTTGCACGCAATGACTGTAGTTAGTCTTCCGACATTGCCTATTTCCTTTGGATTTTCCAGGTTCGTCTGTTTGACATCAAAGAAGACTCGTTGCGATTGGCCTGCAGTTTCAACGAGAACATAATGGTATTGTATTTGCGTCGCAAAGGTGACTTCGTTCTGGTTGGTGACTTGATGCGGTCACTCACGTTACTGCTGTACAAACCAAATGTAAACAACTTCGAGGCCGTAAGTAGCTTCCTATTTCTATTTGCCTAACCCTAAAAAATACTTCCTGCTATCACCGGTGTCATAAAGCCGGAATTGATGGTAGCTGTTTTGTTTCTGCATTCGTGCGCACCCCGCTAAAGAGCGATGGCCATCCTTATCTCATTTTTTTGGATTTTTCATGTATTCATCAAAGCTGCTGGATGCTCACAGCACTAAACGTCCTACTGAGAGAACGAGATGATACGCTCTACTGTCGAGAGGATGTATTGAGATACTTTAAACCAATAGTTTTTGGCGCCATATCTGTAAGGATTGGTGTTGATATATATATGTTCAGCCAACTCCCGTTGGTGAACTTCCAATAGTTCACCGATCAAGTTATAGCCCCCGGTTGCTGGCATTTCGTCCTCTCGCTTTGATGGGAAAATACCTCCTCAATCTAGGCTATTCGAGACGCTTGATTGTATGGGAGCATTTTGCAAGGTACAAGAGAAGGGTGATCAGTCGCAGACTGATAGCTTTTTGGGTCTAAATGACTTAACTCTGTAGAGATTATCTAAAAACAAGCCGCATGCGAATTTCGTATGACCTTTGACGTGTCTACTATATCTGTCATTTTCTTTCACCTTCCCTCATCATCGTCTTTATTTCAAATGCGCTAACTTCTTTTGCTCAATAAATTCCCACGCGCTAGATCGGACGACACAGACATCCTCGATGGACTACTTGCATTGAGATTCTGGACGACGAGCATTTTCTCGCGGCCGAAGTCGAAAACAATTTGTTTGTGGTTTCGCGTGATTCCCCGGAGAACACTCAAGAGCCCAGTGTTCGAGCTGTATTGGCTCCGTCTGCCGGTGATTTATGTTTCCTCCCATCGCCAGCCGCCCTACAACGGGATGGAGTAGGTCCGGGGACACAGACTGCGGATGGCGATGAGAATGCAGCAAATGCGGTACCCAGCTCAACTTCACTTGGTGCTGATCCCCCTGCCTCGGGTCCATCAACAGGTGATGGTAGGCGTCCTTCAAACTCCTCTTCCTCACGGAACGCCAAGGGCCCCAAGCTCGACGCGCGCTCGTCTGTCTCTGGTGAAATGCAACGACTGGCTGATTGTGCTTACATCCACACCGGTGATTTCATCAACGTATTCGCTCGAGGTGGGTTCCGCGGTTTGAATTTCTATTACTTGATTGGACGAAACCTGTTTTTTAATGCTCGCTTCGAAAAATCACTTGCCTTGATCTGGACATACTGGCATCATTATGCCTTCGAGCAAACCATGGACTTTATTCTCTTTTCATAAAGATTATTAAACCGTGATTTGTTTTGCACGCTATCTGGATTCCGACGTATGTAAAATACAATACAATGAAGAAGATTGGAAACTTTGCCTGAACATAGATTGCACATTAGTATATCAAATAAATGGGAATAAAAAACGGAGAATCTCAGTTTTATTTTGTCTCCTAGGCATCACAGGTTTGAGTTTCTTGAGTGACATAATCATCTAGATGACCCCTCGGTGTCCGGTGGTCTGCCATAGATGAGATAAACAACTGTTAGTTGTATTTTTAAAATTTTCCTACTCGCGCCGACTAACATCTGTCAGTGTTTTCATTGAAAATTTGTGCCCGTAATGAACACTAATGCACTGCACGTATGCGCGTAGTCTTTTTGCACGTCCTAGTCACAGTTAATTCACTGCAAGGTTTTAAAATACGACGGTCTCACACAGAGAATTTCCCTCACAACTGAAATTCATGTTAATGTTTCCCTTTCTCACTCTCGTTTCCACCCAAATGACAGGTAGTCTTGTATTGCAAAATAACGAGGAGCGCTGGTCAGCCATCGGTAATCCGGCCCACATGTATGGCTCCGTCAGTGGCAGTCTGGGATTGTTGATTCAAGTTTCCCCGGTGCTTTTCGCTCTCCTTAAAGAAATCGAAACGCGTTTAGCTAATTTGGTTGTTCCGGTTGGTGGTTTTGCACACGACACTTGGCGGGCTTTCAAAGCCGATCGAGTGGTCCGAATGGCACATAACTTTGTTGACGGCGACTTGATTGAAACGTTGCTGGACCTAAGTCCTGAGGACAAAGCCAAACTTGTCCGAGGATTACGAATACCGGTGAGTCGCATGGTCTACATTTTTTCCATGCGTACACGAATCATTAGTAGTTCCATGCTGCAACCGTCGTCGCGTAGGATGTTCGGGACCGTGCTGCGCGTTGCATCGAGCAGAATGGCTAGTGATAAGTGGGCTGTTGCCAAGATATCCCGCCCTTTGTTTTATTCTTTGTCTTCTATACCCGACCCTCACCCTGTGCTCCTTCTTCCAACCCGTAACATTGCCCCAGGTACCTTGTTCGTCACTCGCCAAAGTTCGTTGTCAAACAGCGCAGTAGGTAATTTACCACGAAGCAAGATTGCAGATTCTGAAACGTCGTCAACCACTGAATCTGGGGCCTACAGCGTGAGGAGACGTAAATCTAATGTCTTAGTGGCCTGGATTTGTCCTCGAGGTAGGTTCTTCGCACATTAGGCGACGACGAAGTTCATTCAGTAGGGCAGCACGGGAGAAGTACTGTACTCTATAACAGGATCGAATCTTCTCCCACAGCCGCTTATGTGCTCTAGGGGACTATCAGCGTCCGAAAGAGAAACAGCGCCAAAAGGTTTTTCTTCATCTCCCATTTATGCACCGATCAGCTGCATTTTGACGCACAGAAAGACGAGTTCCACGACAAACTCAACGATCTCATTCGGTTGAGCCCATGCTCCGATAGAGTTGTGCCGGAAGGTGAATTCAACGTCATATTGGAAAATTGAGCACATCGGCTGCTTGCTTAGGTGATAGTTGTGCTTCGCCCTACCAACGAACAAAAGAACGTCGATTGACTTCTTTAGTTCTGCGCTGATCACCATCTGTTCGAATCCAGCACCAACTTCCGATACAGCTCTCGGCAGACAACAATGTGGCGCTCCAATTCTACGGGCACGCTAACCCAAAAGACTACATAGACTACCGTTGGCGTGACTCAGCTGGTCTTATGGGACTACCTGCGTGGAATCTGATCACGTAATAGTTCGGATGCAGTTCACCCCGTCATTCTTCGACAAATACCCGCAAACAATAAGCAAGATTCCGACCACGTCGCGGTTGTCTACGAAATCTTCACACTGTGTCCTCAGGATCAACTGTTGCGTTTTCTTTGACCTCAAAGAAATATTCTACTCAGTTGACCGCGAATTTCTTATGAGGTCGCTTCTCCACAGAAGAATGCCTCAGAGGTATATAATATATATATTGCGATCGCTGTCCCTGCATAGTTCTGATAGTATAAGGGTCTATGGCAAGATGAGTAGGTGGTTCAGAAGTAACAGCGGTTTTCGTAAAGTGTGTCTTATTTCACCATTCCTGTTCAATTTCGTTATAAACAAAATACTGCAGAACGCACTTAGTGGTCTCCAAAATGTAGGTATTGAATGGGCAACTGGAGAAAAGCTGTGCGATTTAGAGTACGCTGGTGATATTGTTTGTCTGCTCGAATGTATAGAGAGAATGCACAAAGCGCACCTGACATGACTAATAAGCTCTGTTGCTGCGTTGGGCCTGCGCTTTACACCTTCAAAGTGCAAAATGATGCTACAAGACTGGGTTTCGCCGAGTTCTGAAATTAGATAGTGAGGAATTAAGTAAAATTAACTGCTTCTTGTATTCGGGTAGCTGAGTGACCAACGGCTATAGCGCATCAAAGTATATAACCGACACACTTCCAAAGCCCGAGCAGCTTCTCAGAACTAAATCACCTGTAGCGGCGACGTGACGTTTCAATGAAGTTGAAAAATTGCGTATACCGCGCCACTGTACGATCAGTTGTGCTTTGTGATAGTGAGTCCTTGAATTTGCGGGTAGAAGGCATTCGTCGCCTATTGGTTTTTGACAGTCTGGTAGTCTGGCAGCGGTTGAATAGAGTAAGCGGTTTAGTAAACTAGAATTAAGTTGTCGGATGTTTGGGAATGCCTCGAATTCAGCTCAGTAGGCTCCGTTGGTCAGGAAATGTTTTGCGTGTCTAACGGTCGCCTACTACACCGCGCCCTATTTGCAGTGACCACTGCAGACTGGAGAAGGCCATGTGGAGGCCATCAGATTACGGGGAGATAAAGCATGAAGAAATGCACAAAGAGATCAATTGGAGTAGATGTCTCTCTTTTTCCGGGTTGGGTCTAAAAGACTCCGCAACTGAATGGTTGAGGACTCTGAAGGTCATGGCTGCGAACCAACAGCAGTGGCGATCTTGCTGTCACTTCTTATCACTCCAGCATGCTTGAAATAGTGTGCATGCACAGTTGGACTGTGTGCTCTGCGTGTTGACAATGGAGGTTCGCTTCCTTTTCCCGTCCCTAGATGGAGGACCAGTCCCTATCCTCCTTACAAATTTTCACTAACCTTGTCTGTATTATGAGTTTGGCAGAGATTAGTGAAGTTCGCTTCCCTGTATTATACTGTACAGTGATGGTGATGATGATGATGATGATGGCGGTGCTTTTCGTTTTGATATGAAATCGAAACATTCAAAAGCGGTTGATCAGCCTTCAGTATGATGTTGCTAAGTCGGACCATATGACTTTTGGGTTACCTAATCGATGATATTTTTCACTACGCGCTCTTGTCTGATGAACAGTAGATGGAGTAAACTTCTTTGTCACGGAGACCTGCTGTTCACTTATGGAAATCGGAAATCTTAGCTTCGAGATTTCTAGTGGCGACTCATATAAGGTCATACTAGGTTAAATGTGACATTAAATCGGAAAACAGCCAAGCTGCCTATCATCGAAGTTGTGTGGCAAGGGTGGGGTTCGAACCTCGGACCCCAGGGCTCAATGCACGCCGCGGACACCGACTTAAATCGTTTGACCAACAGTATGCTCGTGTATCGACTTCTTCATCACATTTTCAAATGATTATGTTTTGCTTGACACAAACCAATCAGAACCTTAGGTTAATTTCCGTTATGCTCACAATTCCCACTTAAACGGGCAAGTTGCATTCATTTCGACCACTGCTGAGGTTCAAACCCAGTTGTTTGGGCAGTGTAGCAGTATCCCACTGAAAAAGCAAATCATGGATTATATTCTTTGTCTTGCAGCCTAATTGTTTATTTTCAGATTTTATGATAAACAATTTATTCATGCATATAAACTGACACGGAAAATTCGCGAACAAAACAATCAGCTGCTTCTTTTTTGCATGATCTCAGTATTTCTGTTGTTGTTTTGAGAATGACAGATCGATGTCTTTCAAAACTACTGAGTTTCGGGCAGATTTTCTTTTGTGGTCGCTTTTTATTTTTGCTCGACTTTACTTTAGGTTGTGGCTTCTAAGTTTCATATTCCCTTTTGATGGGATAACAAATTCATAGTATCTTTCTTTTTTTCATTTCTTGTGATTTACCGAACCGCATGGTACTCTCTGCAATCTGATATTGCGTTCACAAACCGTTTTGCTTTTTTTGCTTGACATTCCAGATTAATATGGAAGAGTTCGGTGTCGCCGGCTCCTCCTGTGTATCAGATCCCGTAACCCGGGAATGCACTGTGGCGGATTTGGTCAAAGTCGTTGAAGAAATGGCTCGACTACATTAGAGTCTCATCACTCTGGAATTATTATTTATCATGTGTGCTCTAGATACAATCGTTGCGTTTCGCTTCCTCAACGCGTTCGCACGCGACTTGGTCATGTATACAGAAGTGCTGATGCGCCTAATTTTTCAAATCATCCACTTGTTTGTTCCCCTGTTCTATCATCTTCGCTCCTATTCTCCGCACCGTTTCATCACCACAAAAAGCTCATTTCACCCCCGTTTGGGAACACCTGAGAACCAGAACGTTCACTGGAAACCACGCCACACCTCGTGCCCATCAGTTTGTCTGTGAATTCTTGGCATTGAAGCATTTTTTTAGTGTGAATAAAGCCCCGATTCTACGCTTTTGCTTCCTTTCACGCCTCACATCCTCGACAGTATGGATGTGCTACTAACTGGTAGCGGGATTCAAGTGCAGACTGGCATCCGGAACTTTGTTTTTTTTCCATGTTTTTTTTCATCAAAGCGTGGATTTCTCTCGGCTTCTTCCGTGAGACGCGGGGAAAAACACAACCGGCATTAAAATAATCGGTTTCCTGTAACCTAGTCTTCTATATGAATATCGGATTTACAGAGAAATTAATGAACAAGCGCAGCACTACTACTCGTGTTGATAACTCCTTTGTTTATTACACATATGATGAACAGCAGATAGGGTGAACCCCGTAGTCACAAGGACCTGTTGTTTAGTGGTGGAAAACGGCAGTCTAAGCCCCGTGGGACTTGGAGTGGCAAACCACATAAAGCCCCGCGCTAGCTCGGGCATGGTATTGAACCGGACGACGTCAGACCTGCCTACCACCAAAATTGGGTGGCGGTGGAGAAGCTCGAAACACGGGCCATTGGGTCCAAAGCACACCGGTGACAGCGACTAAACCAACTGCGCCACCACCGCTTGGCATTTTATTTTCAACTGTTTCCCGGTCCGGAGCTACTCTTTTCAGTTTATACAACCATTATCTTTGTACTTTCCTCCGGCGGTTTTGTCTATCCATTTAAGTGAAGAAATAGGAGAATGAATTAGAGTGTAGGAAGCCCCATAAAGGTGAAAATAGGGAATTCAAGTAAACTGATGCTGCAATGCACTTGAGTAGATACACTAGCGCCATTGTCTACGACAGTGGGCCATATCGCTCACTTTTCCCAAGGTTGATAATATTTATTATCGTTTGTAGACGAGTGAGTCATGTGTGCAAAATTGCTGATGAGTCTAATTAATCAGTGTATCTATTTGTAGGGTGACGGTGGTCGCGATTGTATTCTATTTTATTTCGAGATTGTGAAGAGTTCAGTGGCCTCGGTGGGATTCGAATCCACGCATGGACACCGCCTACGCTTTTGTACTGCGTACGTTCAACCAGCTGAACTACGAGACCACACCAATAGCACTAATCTGCAAAACAATTTGTGTTCTAATTGTTGATGCGTCAGATTGACATACCTCATGGTAATTTCCGCGAGCGTCCTTTTGTATCTTTCTTGTGGAGATTGTTTGGTTAACGACTCCGCACACACACCTTCAGACATGGCGGATGATCATCTGCAACTGTTCGGCCAGTACAATAATGTCAATCCGATTCGTGACATGGACGTGCACCCGGTGAGCTTAATTCCACTTACCAATGGATTCAGTGGATTAATGATCAGCAACATGTCAGGTTACGGGGAGTAGCACCATGATGTGTCAGAAGAATTTTCGCACCACTTGATTATCTACTGGTCACCAGATCTGTTCACCACAGCGTGAACGAGCAGTCCTACCCTTGGGGAACAAAATCAATACAGTCCTGTGACGATCCGGCTGATCGTGCCATAGGAGCGTTCGCCAAATGTCACGCTCTCGTGCATGATTCGAATCCCCGAACGTCCTGTCCTAAGAAAGGGGCGATTGCGTTGTGCGAAATATCTGTCCCTGAATCACTGACAACCGGAACGTGTAATATTAGCGAAACAGTAAGAAACACTATACTTAGGGGTTCTGTTGAATTAAAGCAGTCCGCACCCATTCCATCAGCTGTGTGGATACAATCTAACCACGTATTCCTAACAGAGTGAGTGTGATCTGTGAACAGTCAAAAATCACCATCGTACAGCGAAATTATGATGATGATGAACATTCAGTAAAACAGGAAAGAAACTCAGATACGAGAACCACACGTCCTGAAGCGACCATGGTCGTTCTGATCGCAGTTCATACATTCTGAGACAGTTGGAGTCTTCCATGGAAGGGTAATCTTCTTATGCAAGTACGGCTTGCTATGTCCAATCGTACAATGTTATCCATTTGACTCCTTCAATAGTCGTGTGCTGAGTAGACATGCAATTTCCATTCTCGTTCGGATATGAATCGATGACACGGATCTTTTGTGTCATGATTCGGTAACGTTCACTGGTACAAAGAACAGAGCCATATCACAACAAAATATAAGGTTGAGTATGAATCATAAGGATCTTTCCACCTCCTGGATGTCAAACTCGAGTAAAAAGAAGATTTTGTCGGCAGATCTTCCTTTAATAAGCCAAATTGTTCGGGGCAGTTCATATATATATATATATATATATATATATATATATATATATATATATATATA